ATTGTCGAAGGACTCATCTACACACAAACCCTATGTATTACATGTACTGTGACGCGTTGCTACCCAGTAAAATGTCACGGAAAACATTTTTAAATGGGCGGTAACAGAGAAAATGTTAGAGTCGGATGATAAACATTATGCACTTGGTCTATTACGATCTGCATACCAATACTGATAATTTAGTCCGGTTAGAATCACACTTTAAGCTTAAGCGTACCTAATTTTCAAAAGCAAATATTTAAGATTTCGTAAATTGTAGACATATTTATTATTCTTAGATACAATTACTAAAATATATAATATTTTTTAATTATAGATTAGGTATATACATGCATGCATCATACATCCAGAACAATCATTTATTTTAAAATACTATCTCACTGTCTTTTGATGGAAGAAGCTACATTTTAACTTAATATACCTTTATTTTGTTTATTATATTATTGGTATTTATGTATTTATAGGTGGTCATTTTTTGTACTATTAGACGAAAAAGAAATCACTTTGAACAATGAAATTTGTGAATTTTGCTAAAAAAATAGTAAAAAAATATATACATATATAGAAAACTGAAAACAAAAACATTTCAATTACTTTTATATTTTAGAGATATATCTTAAATCATTTTCATTTTTTCATTCAACATTTGTAGCAATATTTTGCTAGCGGAGATTTTCGACAGCACCACTCGAAGTACCACTAGTAACATCTGTATTATTTATTATATATTATATTATCAACAATTTCATTTAGCACAAAATTATAATGTCTTTTTTATGTAATTGTACATATTTACATGATTCAAAAAAACACAATAGCTCAATAATATTATAAGTAGGTAAGTATCCTTTAAAAAAAAAAATATTTGCTCTTGGTCTATAATTATTGAATCATTAAGGCACAGAAACGTTTATATTAAACATTAAGGTTGTACTTATTTATTAAAGTATAATATTATAATTGAATAGTTATATTCATGAATTATTTATATTTCCATATTTCAGTTTCAATGTTAAACATTAAAAATTATAAACAATCTCAATCTGCATATGTATATATTTTTTTTTAATCTAAATTGTTTTAATCTTTTGTTATTCGCCTCTCCCGTGATAAGTCATAAGTATAATATACAACTGAGGCAATAGCATGGAAAGTTTCAATATGGTTTTATATAGAAATTCCGCCAATATAATACATTATTTGGCAGAAGTTATATCTTAAATGGCCTTTTTGAGTTGGCAATAAATACAGGGGTCGTCGAAACGATCGAAAACTATCTTTCAATTTAACACATTTTTTTGCCAAAAAACGAAAACTATAACGGAAAATTGAATATCCGCTTTTACTTTCACATTTTAAGCTTTTTTACTGTAGATAATTTATTTGCTACTTTGTTAATTTTGAATACTATTAAAAAAAATAAAAATAAAAATAATTTCATTTATTTTATTTTATTTTGTCTATTAATTCATTTCATTTATTTATTTACGTAGACATAATGTATACACTACAGCCAGTAATGGCTTAGCTGGACTGCGGTGTACCTTTGTAAATCAATACGATTAATATGTCACTAGAATATGCAATTAAATATACATTTAGCACTAATTATGATCAATTAGTGTTATATTATTCCCATATATATGGTTACTAAACAACAAATTAACTCTATAAGTAAATGAGAACTTTCATATAATTGTTTATGATTTTATTTGGTAGTGTATTTAATCATTACTTCACTCTATAATGGGTTAATATTTACCATTTGGCAGGATTTCCTTCACTCAATGTAATTAAATGCATGCATGCTGTGATTTAGTTTTGGTAAATTTAATCAGTTTTGTTAAAATTTACATTTTGCTGCCGCGAGAAATTGAATATTGAATAGATTTTAGCTGTTCCGAGCTTAATTATTTTTGTTAACTGTTTGTCAACAATGGTTTTAGAATCACTGTTTTTTATTAATGTACAATTAATGAAATATCTCAAGTCTAAACTTCACTATAATTGAAAGCCCTTACCAATGTTCAGCGCACTAAATGCTTTTTCAGTGATATTATTATTAACGAGCAATATTTTTACAGAAGATATGTATAATATTATACTAATTTAAAACTAACATAATAAGTATGTGATTCAAAAATGTATCATTAAAGGGTATAGTTTGAATTCCTTATTAAATGCATTTTTGGTTCATTATAAGGTTTATTTTTCTTACATTTTTTTGGAAAATATATTTTAAAAAAAACAAAGAGAGCCAAAGACCGTACATGCAGCACTATCACTATATACTGAAAACAAAACAATTTGTATTTTATGAGCTATATTTTACACTCAAGACTACGTCGGCTGTATGTAGTGGTTCCGTCTAACTAATGCATTCACAAGCAAATTTTAATATTTACTATTTTACTTTCAGAAGAATCCGTTTCTCTCTGTTATTTAGAATATTACAGAGAATGGTCCTATATATGTAATATAATATACAATTTAATCGTAAAAATAATTTCCAGTTCTTATTCTAACTTATGCTTTTTTCGACATTTTAATTTTGAAACAAGTTATGATACTTGATGTTTAACATTTTACAAATTGATACATGATTTAAATTTCTACCAAAGTTTTTTCTAGAGAGATAAACATTTTTAAAGACTAGCTTTGTTATTTTTATGACGGATTTATTTTTAATTTTTGTAATGAAGTATTATTTAAATTAATCGTAACTATCAATTCATGTAAAATGTACATATGATTAACAAGATATTTTTGTTAAGTCTTTCTGTTTATTTAATATTAATAGTGCGATTGATTTATAATAGTTCATATGTACTAAAACTATATAATAATAATAAATATCTTATACTAAATAATAAATACCTACTATAGACTTGACCTCGACATTAATGTGTCTCACTAAGTGAACATATAATAAATTTTATAAAAATTTTTGCTAGGGTCAATGTAGAGGAAATCGATGTTGGACGTATAAAGGTATTAGGTACACTAGATTTTGACAGAATAATGGTAAGGTGAGTAGTAAGAATCGAGCGGAAAAGGTTCTTGTTTTCAGCAAACTTTTATGTCGAGAGGAAAATATTATAATAAATCAATTTAATAGCCTAAAACGTTGTGCTGTGATACCGCAATAAGGGGTGCGTCTGCGTGCAAGGAAAATTAATGTTCAAGCTGTTACTCTATAGGTAAAAACGTAAACCTCGAGACATTACCTGCCGACCATTCGTGATCTCTAAAAACAATAATAAAAACATACAAGTAGGTGTACCTATATTATGAAGAATAAAAAATATATTTTGTAAAAAAAAAAATGAATGTTCGCAATATAATTAATAAAACATATTTTCAACATAATAACCTAACTTAACCTGTTTTGTAGTATAAAAACATGTCATCAGTCCTTTCCAAATCCACCGTAGGTAATCAGTGATATGTGATCTGCACCGTCACAGGTGCTTGCGTTCTAGTCGACCGTTATTCGGAAATGGTCAGTTTCTGTCTAGTATACCTAACTGGGTGCTGTCCATCTTCAACTCTGGAATATTGGAGAACAGGATGTCTGTCATCGAAAAACTATTTTTTAGCCCTCTTGTTACTTCGTAGTCACCAGCAGATTGTGGTCAACTCGAGTGACAATACCGATTTGACGGTCACCTGCAATAACAAGAACTCTCGTTTAGTCGTTGGACTGAATAAAGCAAAACTTGAAGATAACTATATGTTGTATACCATTTCAGGTTTAAAACTATTTTGTGAAACATTTCATTTTAAAGTAAAAAAAGTACATTTATGTATCAAACAGCTTTATTAAACTTGTCCAACGTATAAAGTTAGAAACGGTAAAATATTTTAGGGCATACATGGAATCATATAGCCTAAGTTTTCTAAGAAATCAAAAGTCTGAGACATAAAAATATTTAACATTTTTTTAAAATGTATTGAGTTTTATATTATAATTACCTATTTGTTTTTGTCATATTTACAATAATAATAATAATAATAATAATAATAATAATAAATAACAATGTAGTTCCTTTTAAAATGTTTTTATATAACGATAGCTCAAATCAAAAATATAAGACACCTGGAAAGTTGCAGTAGTTGCACTGCTGAAGTACAATAGATCCACCTTACGATTGTCTTTGAGTAGGTTATTGCATACTGCTTCCGTAATAAACATGAATTTGGATTCGGGATAAATCATTGGGTACGAAAAAAAATTCTGAGCAAATTAGAAGATGTGTCAGTGTGTCACTCTCTAGATATAAGGGTATTTGATATTTGATAATAAATATTTTTTTGTAATATTCATATTGGCATTCTATTTTGCCATGAGTAATACAGTAAGTAAGTATTTTTAATTAATTTTCGCAGAAAACGTTTCATGTTTTATACAATTAAGAATAATAATTGACTCATACAACCGACTTAACTATTTCTTACCACGGTTGAATAGGATCGGGGTGTAATAAATAGCTGTTAAAATAAGTCTAAATAAAATGAATTATGTCTTCAGAACTTGAAGTTTGACAGTTTTTTTTCTAAAGGGATAAAATAAAAAATTCGGGAAAGTCTATCTTAAGGAAATTTGTCGAGAAGTTCGAATCTGCAATTCAATAATTAAAGTACCTATATATTACAGGCATATTAAAATAGTACTTAGGTTTAGAGTCTTAGAACCTGTGTGGTTGTGCGTTATTTGATGAAATAGAAAATACAATCTCTGGACTATACGAATAATGTGATTGTAATGAAACGTTATGTTATTAAATTTTACAATATCGTGAGTAACATTAATATTTTAACAATTTTGTTTGATCACACGCAGTGACCCGACTACGGTAAAACGCGCATTTCTAGAGACGAAACATTATTTTATAGTTTTTATCCGACGGCGGCGCGGCCGGCGTTGGCACGACTGACCCAAAACCTTAAGTATAGTATTAAACGTTGGGCGCCCCAACAGGTAGTCTGACGACGACGACGCCGCCGCCGCCAGCAGCCACCGCGCGACATTAACGCACCGGCCGCCGAACCGTTCGCCCGTGACACGCGCTCGTTCCGATCTTGAAAGTTTTTTCCGCGTCGCCCGTGATAAACGCGTCCAGTTGTAGTGTGTGATCGTCGATCTCAGTAATTTCCAATCACCGGTGGTTCACGTAGTAGTGTAGTACACCAACTGTCGTCCGCACTGCGAATACAATCTATATTATACTATTATAATCATATAGACGTAAGACGATCGTTTTGGCTACAATCGGGGAGGAAAAACAATTTAATAAAATAATAGAAAAAGTAAGTGCGAACAAATATGTATACGGACGAAATACTGGAAGAATTCGATATAGTTTTCGACAAATATCTAAATCTATAATTAATAATAAAAAAAAAATATATGCATATTATACCTACATTAGACAATATACTATAAAATATATTTATATACTTATTGCATAACATATGATAATGATTTTAATTTGTGTAATGACTGAACCAGTGTGGTAGTATGTGTATATAACAACTATTAGGCGGCCACACGGCGTTTTTCTAGATCCGCCAGTTTTTTTATATGGGCGCGTGTCCGGAAACGTAATGTACTACTATACGTAGGTAAGTGAGTACTATAGCTGTACCTACGTTGTAAAATCGTCATTACGATTTTTATAAGATACTCAATTTACTCGATGATATCCCGAGCAAAGTATAAATGTTAAGTTCTTGTTGGCCTTTAAAAACCTTTTCCGTTTGCGTAAACGTGCAAGCATTAATAATATAATTATGAAAAAACTTTCAAAAAAATTGTTTTAGTAATAATTTATGCTATTTTCCAAATACATCAAACTCTTAAATAAACTGTATATATGTAATAGGTATTTTTCTTCGTTAAAAATTAATAGTTCATAACATTTTCCTTTATTTGTTTTACGTTGTTAAAATGTAAATTTCAGAATATAAAATAAAATGTTAAACAATGCTTAATCAATAAAAATTATAAAAATTTCACGAATAACTTCAGGTATAAAAAACGTCGTGTACAATTTTAAATTCATAACAATATTTAGATAGTCTTAAGTCTAACCATTATACCTATATAGATTAAAAATATAAGAACATTTATGGAATCATTTTGATGCTTTAAGTAAATATTTAATAATGACTGTTACATTTTACTTTTGTTTTTCAACTAATTTTATTAAGTAAAAATATAGAATGCCACTTAATGTTATAAAGGTTGCCACGGACACAGCTTGTAATGGTTTATTATTACAAGGGGGTATAAACCATTAATTATTTTCTTCATTATTAGTGACTAACTTTTGAGAATCAACTCAACTAATCATAGATTTTAGCTTATACATAAGAGAGTTAAAATTGTAATGACAGCATTTGTTCCAGATGTTAACCTTATATCCGTTATATTATAACAGAAATTAACACAGTTGATGATGTGTAAAATATTAAATTATTATAAAAATATACTGCGAACAGTTGTCAATATTATATTATACAGGTTCAGATACAGAAAAGGAGGCTAAATATAAAATATTAATATTATGAGTTATATTATAAATATAAATTAAATAGGTAATAATTGTAGTTTTAATCATTAATACACTATAAACTCATAAAATATTGTTGACAAGTTTTAAGAGGCTAACGGATTTTACTTTATTGTAAATTTACTTATTCAAACTAGATAAGTATTTTTTAAATAGCACCTATTTAAGAGTTGGCTTTAGCGCCTGCTCTACGTATTTCTTGTATTCCATACAATTTATTTTTAATATTTTTATTTTTATTAAAACCAAATAATTATCTTAAAAATTAACAACAAAGTAAATCCGCTTTTCATTTGCATTCGCAGTCGGATACTGAGGTATAAGCTTGTATATTAACAGTTTATAAATCTGACTATTGACCTAAAAACTATTTGAAAAGCACATAATATAAATATTTTTTCAATTAACTTAATTAATTAAACAAAGTTTTAAAACTATTTGATACATTATAATATATTTTCAGATAATGTCCTAATATAAAAATTAAACATACTAGCATTTTACCTTTTAGTATGTATAATACAAGATTTTAAAAAGTATTAATTTGATTAATTTTTTTCAACAAATCGTAAGATCTAAAGGATACCACTTTTACATTTTGAGCTGAGTAATTTTGCAATGACGTGTGTGTGTTTTTTTTGTGTTTGATGACAATAAATTTTTTCAGTAAAAAAATACTCTGATCACCAACTTTAGAGTATGGTTCTGGTAGCAAATAAGATCTAGCTTGTACTTTTAGTATTGGGATCTCAGAACTAAAAACTTTTATTGATTTTTAAAATAACCATGGAAAAAATACTTACATTTGTTGTTAAAATTTTAATATTATTATTAATATAATTGTGTATTAACCTTATTGGTTACCAAATAATTATACTGTCTTCTTCATGGTATACAATGATTTATCATTTAATTCAATTTTAATATTCTCATAACTAATCAATGACCAAGTTAAATCGACACATACAACACTTACTTTATAGCAGAGCAGTTACCAACTTGGTGGATTATTTAATTTATATTGAATTTCTAAACTTCATGAATATTTATTTATATTGAGGGATCTAGGATTATATTCATTCTATTGAATATAATGCGTTTGCAAAACTGTTTATATTTAAGAATATAAACTGATCCTATAATATGTAAAATAAATATTGTTATTCAGTGTAGGTACTTGTAATGATAACACGAGGTAGGCGAGTTTTCCCATATTTACTTTAGCTGGTTTATGAGTTGCCACCATGCCAGTTGTTTTTAGCTTTACTATACAGAACACTATTACTGTTCAAAATTATATGCTTCACAGATCTGATAAACTGAATGACTATTTATAAATGTTCGCCATCTTATATTATTATATGTTACTCAGTACTCTATACAATTTTAAGCTATAATGTTCATATTCGTGTATTCGTAATATGATTTTTCATATTAAAATGTAAGACAAGTACAAATAATAATTGTGGCCTGTGGGTGATATGTTTGAACATAACAATTATTTATTCATTTTTCAATGCTACAAATTTTAACAAACAGTATTAGTTTTATCTCGCTATAATAATCACACTCGTGCTTTTAATTATAATGTAAATTATTTTACACTACTATAATTTATTGAATGAAGTTACATAATAATATAATATACAGTGTGTACCTGTCAGGTTAAATTACTATACATATTGTAAGACTGTATTTTGCTTATAATATTAAGCTTGTCGTTAGGTTTTGTTTTGATAGCTTGTACCTACTTTTTGTTAATCGTTTCAATACTTGTCAATTGCTAATAGCTAAAAAGTATTATTTATATAGATGGTGGATCAATTGTAGGTGTGTCCGTTACACTGCATGGATCATCATTCATCTTTAAAACAACTATTACCTATTTAAGCCTTAATGTCTTGAGATACTGGCATAATTGCTTGTTTTTGTTTATTAACTACTATGGATTCATGGTCGTATAGCCATTTTTATATTTTAATTACCAATTTTAATTTTTGATGGCATTGATATAATGTTTAAATTAATCTCTTATTGAAACATTCCAAATTAATTCTGTTCCAAGAGTTGTAGGTAATTCAGATAAAATATATTATAGTATATTAGTATATAAATATAATTGTATAAAATAAACGTTAAATTGTAAAAAAAGTTTAATTTGTTCATTTAGACTTTATTCAAAATTTTTTTTTGTTAAACATTCGTGTAAATACGTAGCTCAGAAAAGTTTCACAAAATATATTATTTTAAATTCTTTAAATATTAAATGAATTTTTGCTTTGGCTATTTTTAAAATACAAAAAACAATTATCGTATATAATTATATGACAATTTATTCAACTGTGCATTTTTTTTTCATGATGAGAAATATAAATTTAACAAAACTATTATAATTTATAACTACCATGCCAAAATTGTCTGAGTGAAAAAATCACTTTTAATATTTAAGTAATTATAATGTATATTATATGTTGATAAACTCGTAGGTATGGTTTGAAAATAAATTAGTAGGTATCTTATAATAATATCGTTGGTAATATAACTATGCTAGCATACAATATTATGTATTTAATCGCAAAATTATATGTACCTTGTACCTACTCGAAAAGATAGTTGAGTTGAAAATCTAAGGTTTTGTAATGCACAAAAAAGTAATGATAATCATACAATAAAAACACTTTTTGTAGAATCAATACATTCATTGCTCCTCTCAGAATCTGAAATATTAAAGGATTTTTTTAATAGAATTTTAAATGCCTCGAGGAAGAAATTATATGGATAGTTTTAGGAGTACAATAGTTATTAAAATTCAAATAATTCAATCCGTGATTTCAAGGAGAAATTTAAGTTTTGAACACGTCATAATCGTTTGATGGAACTTTTATAACCTACGAAGGAAAGTGTATAAGACTTTTTCAAGACAATGTCAACATTGCGTCCTTTTTCATTGTAAATGAAAGTGTAGGTTGTGTTAATTCCAGATTATTGTACAAAGCAAACAAACATATCATAACTAATACTATGAAAGACATACTTTGTTTTTTTAATTTTTTTTTTATAATAGATTCAACAGTAGTATCTAAGCACGTGGAAGTCGATCTCGAGTTCAAGTCACGAATTTGTTTTATTTTCTGCTATAGTTTTTCGTAAACAAATACATATTAGGGTGACATAGTTAATGTAACGTCCTATATGTACTACTTCCAGACTACAGATAAATTGAATAAGGACGTTATATTTATGTTGATAAGGGTGAAGTGACTAACGTTGTTTCCTTTTCAATGAAAACAGACTGAAACATAAGTGTTTCGTCATAGTTACAATCTTGATTAGCATTCGAAATTCCATTAGTAAAGGTGCCTTTGTCTGCGGCAAATGAGCAAATACCGATTTAGAGATACAAATATTTTAGGCTTCTTTATATCTACCCCTGGAAATATAGGGAAAACAAAAACGATGCCTTCAAGTTGAGTTCGAGTAATTGTTTTCCGATGACCATGATTTATTAACAAGTGAGTTGTAATTAATAACGCGTTTGGTTAGTAATTATTAAATGTATAATACTCTAATTATATTTTAGTAGTCCAAATATTATTGTGATTACTAATCACTGATTAGTTATAAGAAGAACGTAAACGATAAAAATATGGTTGGCACATGTCGGCTGACAAAATCAAAATGGAAAGATTACGTTTATTGAAAGTATTTTTTATTTTTATCATTTATATTATTTAA